AAGGGATTCTGTCTATAAAGGCTTTTTAATAAGCAAGTTTAGCGTGTCTGTGAGATATGAAACAATAGCCGAGTAATATAATTCTGATGTTGTTTTTTCACGAGTTCTCAGCTGTCAAGTAATTTCACCAACTTTCCTTTTAAAATCATGGCACTTTGTTCACATGAAGCTCCTAATTTCAGATTTATTCTAATAATGTTACTGGCATTGAAATGTAAATAAATGTGATGACTTACAAGCATACTGGTTGGGATTGGGGGTGTGACTCTGTACAGGAGGATCCAAGTCTGATGAAAAAGTGGATCTTAGCAAAGACAAGAAGTTAGCCCAGTTCAACAACTGGTTTACCTGGTGCCACAACTGCAGACACGGTGGACATGCTGGCCATATGCTCAGCTGGTTCAGGTAAGTTGATTTGAAAACCTTTAGTATTTCACTTAAACTTTGTATGCTGCACTAAATAGGACATGCCTCCTTCGTAATATGCGCTGTTATGCTTGTTTTTTCTAAAGCGTATGCACAACTTACTATGCTGTTGAGTTTTTTGAGAATATTATGTTGCTGCAGCAGCTTAAATTTACAGATAATAAAATTCTTGTAAATATTATTTTATTGGTTTTGTTTTATTTCTTTTTTACCCTATCTAGGGACCATACAGAGTGCCCAGTTTCTGCCTGTTCATGTAAGTGTATGCAGTTGGATACAACAGGGAATCTCATTCCAGCGGAGACTGTCCAAGCATAAATATTAAATTTGAAAATGTCAGGCACCCTGATGGATGTCTGTAACAGTCCAAGCATATATTTTAGAAGAAAGCTGCTTGTGACTCACTAACTGTGAAAAAATAAATTGCTATCAGATTAATAAACTGATGTGTGTATGACTGCTTGGTAGAAACAAGATACTCCTGAAATGAGCCAGTGAGCTTTTGGGTATGTTATGTGGGCTTTCGTCAGCAGGTTAAAGTGGTTCAGCTCAAAAGCACTCCCAGAAGCTTTGCTAAAATTCAAAGCACTTTTAACAAAGCTTTCAGGGTAGTGCCCTTATCTGTGTTTCCAAAAAAACTGTTTATATTGTGTTTAGTGAAAGTGGGCCTTCAAAATAAACATCTGAAGAGTCTTCTTTTGAACATCCCACAGTCCTTTCACTGATTGATCACTCTTGTATGCAAAGTCATTTTCTTCTAAGTTCATTCAAAGTGCCACTACTAACTGTATTCTAAATATCTTTATTTTAAAGAAAAGTCCATTTCTTTCTGTTCTCAAGTTTTGTTAATAGTAAAGCATCTTTGCAATTCAAGATCATATTAAATATACCTACATACCTAGCTGATGTGAATTTTAATGTTAAATAATTTGGGGGGGGGGGGGGGGGGGGAGGCTGACCTTAACAAGACATCTGCATCCTGGAGAAGAGTTCCCTGAAAGTCACGTGTCAGTTTCGGGGCAAAGTGCAGGTAAACTATAGGAGTTTCGATTGGATTAATTTATTTTAATATAATGCTGTGAAGATCTGAAATCTCAAAGACTTGAGACTTGTAAATACTCAGTTTTAAGCTACGTTCTGCGTTTTGACTACAAATGAATAGCAAAGACATATTGAATACTAAAGACTTCTGGATAATCGGGATTTACTTGTGCTTCTGAAGTATGCTGGGAAGCATGAAAAGAACCAGTAAATCTTTTTTCCTCATTAGCATATTTATTTCTCTTTCCAGTGTTTTTGTAACCCTGCTTCAGGTCACCAGTAAACACCAGTTTGCTCCCAAAAAGTTGCACAACTTTAGGTCGTTGACTAAAAATAGTTTTTCTTTCTTACCAGCTGAAAGTAAGATTATTTATTAACTCAAGAGAAGGTCAATGATACTTGCTAATACTGTGCTAGGAGCTAATCAGTATTGTTGTCCTTGATTTTTGGTAGGCAACAAAATTCACACAAATTAGGGAAAAAATCTGTTTTAAGGTATGTCATAATAACATCAGTTTTTGGTGTGTGTTTATTTACTAGTAGAAACAGGAAATGAGTTACTTAAAACTTGTGTGCTATCAAATACTAAATGGAATGCTAGCAATAAACTTTTACCATATTACCAATGTGAAAATTGGTGTTTTAAGAGGATATACTGTTATATACCATTAGTTCTAAGTGTGTAGTGCGGTTGCAGTAAGATAGAATGCGAAAACATATTTTCTGTAGATACACATGATGATGATGCATCATTTGGGACTTTAGTTATGTTTTCTGATTTAATGTTGATGTTGTAAATACATCTGTTATATTAACTCTGATCTAAAATTCTTGCCAAATGACAAAGATATTTTAAGTGCAAATCTAAGAGGTACTTGATATTTTTAGTCAGACTGTCATGGAAGACCAGTAAATGTTTTTTCCTTATTAGAATATTTATTTCTCTTTCCAATATTTTTGCAGTTGTTTGAGAAAGCTCTTCTATCTAAAGTGTTCTCCATTAATAAATGTAAACTGGTGTTTAACCGATGATACTCTATATATGTAAATATGGGCAATAAAACTTTCACGTGATGGGAATGAGGATTTGTTAAGTGTCAAGCATATGTTTTTATTCCTCTACTTAGCAAACTTTCCTGATAAATTCCATGTCTAGTTGAATGCAACTAATTTACAATGTCTCTTTTCTTGAATGAAGAAAACTCACTTACAGCATTTTGGATTTGACTATACCTGTTTGTGTCAAATTCTATCATTTCATTAAATTAGGAGCACGCTTTGATTCTCAGTGTGTCCTTGAAACATTTTGGATTATGAATGTGTGTATATTGCAGTTTGTATTCAAGCTTTCACTATTTGCAAACCTTTATTATAAAATGAGGTGTGTGCTTTTAATCATTAGTTTTTTTCTTGTTTTGCTTTTAACCTAATAAAGCTGTGATTGTATTGTGTGTGACTTCTTGTCATTTAACCAAAAGCATAGCTACAGCCATTTCATTAACTAAGTTGTTTATATTTTACTGTTTTCTAGTATCGGCTGGATTTAAAAATTGGGGTAATTAGACTAATTTGGTTCAGAAGTCTCAGTTGATACAAAAGAGGATATTTGAGCAAGATAAAATGAAAGTGTGACCACATGAGTATGGAGCAAGATGAAATTATTTTTCAGATGCACTGACTAAACAGCACCTATGAAGTGTGCTAAAACGGACCATTTGTAATGCAAGAGTTGAGGTGTTTTTCAGTGTAGGTGTAGTTTAAAATCACTGTACAGTGTTGTTTATCACAATGCTTTAGTCATAACCCTGTTTCTGTCAGCTAATGTCTAGATTGTCCCTTTTATTGATGTTCACATACCTCCCTCTTCCTGCAGTTCAGTATGCAGCAAACTGTGTAAAATAACAGCTTGTCACCAACAGGCACTGGCAAGGCTCCCTGAGGCTTCTGCATTTCCTGTACTGCAAGTCAGAAAATTTTGCTCTCTCCGGTTCTGATATCAAGGCAGGCACTAGAATTCCCCCCCCCCCAACAGTATCATTATGACATAACTTATCATGGGGTTTTAGTGTGTTAACTGAAACCATCGTTGTTGCTGTTTGTTTTTCTTTCTTTTGTATGGGTGGCAAGTAGTCCAATTATACTTACTCAAGTCTGATGCCATCTATGCCAGTGGTAAAGGAGGAAGAGGTGATGTGATGGTGTTCCCTTGTCAATGCTAGGACGTGTTCTCTGGATACTTCCTCACCAATGCTATGGAAAATCATGCCAGGCCCCAGAAGTCAGACACAAGTGCAGTTGAAATAAGAAGTTTATTCTCCTGCTCCAGCCCTTATTTACTTTTGCTATTGGCCCCAGTTTTGCTGATAATGATATCCTTTTTTGGTATTTATGATTTGGTTGCCCTGATACTTCTCCTTCAGTAAGCTAAGTCACTGTGGCAGTTTCTCTTTCACACCTTTAACTTCTCAGTGTCTTTTCTCCACAAATGAGGGTTAGCCATCTCCATGGATATTCCTTTCTCCAACATTTTGAATGTTTTGCAATTTCCCACATTGTGATCCTCTCAGTATAACTATATGGTCTGGACACTATTTTTCCTATGATAGTAGCTTCAAGCACTGCTATCCTGTTCCTACAAGTAAGCATAGGCCGTTTAATCACATTTGTTGGTACAGTCTAGGGAAGCAGATGAAGGAAAAGCACACAGGGGAAAATATTATTTTCATACCACTTGCCTACACAAAAGTCATCACTGCAGGACAGGAAGAATAAGCAGTCTTGACCCTTTATGACAAAGGGACACTGTATCATTTACACCTCAGGTGCACCACAGTATTTATATGCAAGATCACATATCCAGGAATGGTCTCCATACTGGAGGTAAAGCACTATAGCCACCTAGTGGCAGAATTTACTTCAATGGTTTTGGATAGTTTTTGTGTAACCGAAAACAATTTGTATGTAACGTTACGTAGAAGAATATATACATGCACAACATACCAATTTTCTAAATTAGAATAATACAAAAGAAAAACTCCTAAATGCCTAGGAAAACAAGTATATAGTTATTGAGTGACATGTTTTGTTTTACTGAACGTTGTTGAGCCCTAAGTTATAGCAGTGATAGCAATACAGCACAAAGTATGGTGGCATCCAGCACAGACCTCCTTGCTGTAGTTTGCAGTACAAGACTTATTCATACCTCAGAAGCCCTCCTCCTTCCCAGTGACAATAACTTTGGTGCTGTCTTCTAATTACAGAAGGGGAAAAAATGGATAACCTGTTAACTTGGTCATCCATCCAGCTATGGGTGGATGAACTAACGCACTAATGACTTGTAGATATGCAGGGTAGTATCAAAGTTACTGCAAACTGCAATAAATGAGTAAAAAGTCTTAGAAGTAAAATGCTCCTTAACTGAAGATATTAAACACTTACAAATCGTCTCTCAGTAAATAACCAAATAACTAGCCTTCTTAATAAGGCACTATATCTAGCTATTAAGACTCAAAACTGTTTGCATGAAATGTTAATTCACATGAATACTAAAAAGGTTTATTTAAAATGCTTTGAAATATGTTCTTCATTAATTCACAGAGAACATTTCAGAAGTTAGATTTTTACTTTGACTGTGCTACCTTAAGAGATCTAAGAGTTCTGTTATGTGCTGTAAGTGGCTTGGAGAGTAACAAAGTTAGGAGTTCCGTGGAAAGTTTATATGATTAAAGTAGTCATGACATGCTTGTTGAACATTTAGTACTTCTGCTTAAACTCCCACCAAAAATAAAGGCTGTGATGTGAACTCAACAGTGCTTGAAATCACCACGCCTAATTAGACATTTTCAACATCATTAACATCAGTGCAAAAGGCAAGTAGCCTGTATGCTGAATTATGTTAGAATTAAATAACTTGTGTGAGGTAAAATAAAACAGGATCACCATATATTACTGAAAATTGCAGTCTAAGATATCATACTGACACTACTAGTTAAATGCAGTCAGTTTTTTTTTTTTTTTTAAATTGGAGAAGTGGCCATCATCAAAACACAAAATATAAGTTTATTGGATGTAGAGATAAAAGTGGTATCAAAGTAAATAAAGTTTTTTTTCTTAAAAAAAACTTCTTTCCATTAAATCCCCAACAAGTATCTTCAGTAAAAGCTTCCTGTTAAGCATCCTAGAATCACTAAAAACAACAAAAAAGCCGACAAAAACTTCAGTTTCTAGCAACTCAAATCTTGCAAGAGAATATTCCTCATGGATGCAAAGGGGTTAAACAGACACAAAGTGAGATTGCCACAACAGTGTTCTGCTTCTAGCTAAATAAACTCATTTTCAATGAAAACATTTTTCAATGGTCACACATGGCATATTTAATAGCATCTTTTCAGTATATTAGTTGAAAATCTATGCAACTTATCATGCTGTCAGACAAGGGAGGTATGGTATTGTTGTCCCCTCTAAAGTTACAAATAAAAAGTAAGAAGAATCAATTGTTTCTTGTAGGACCAAATGGGAAATATTCAGGGAATTCATGAATAATTTTTAGCGCTTCATTGTAGAGTTCCAGATCTGAAAGATGGCAAAGAAAATGGTTGTGTTGCATAGGTAAATTCCCCACTAGCAAATAACAGCATTAAAACAACACTTATTTTAGAGCAGTATAGCTGAGCTTTCTCTGTCTCCACCCTCACCCTCCTTAGGTCTGCGTAAGCCTGACAAATTTTTATTTCCTGGAGGATTATTTTTAGGCCAACCAACTGCAAAAATCAACAAGCTCCAGTGCAAGGTAATGTAGGATAAAGAACCATGTGGCTGGGAGCAGAGGAATGACTGGACCATGGCAGTACTCTAGATCAGCTCAGGCTTTGAGATCCTGCCTACAGTTCAGCAGTACGGCAGTATATTCCGTGTATAATTTTTCCCATGGTAGTACCCATTCCTACATTCTTCTCCATATCTGACAGCTTGAAGAATGACATTATCCAAAAGAAAGGATTATCTGGCTCTGCCTTCTTCCAGGCATCAAGTTCTGAATGCAAAATTAGTTTGTTATAAGGTATATTCTTACTTACCAAAAGGACTTTTATCTTCTCTGAACTGGACATATGACATACACATGATGGTTGCCTGACTTGTTACTCTTCCCACTACTTCAAGAATTCCTGAGATCTCTTCATCTAGCTAGAGAACATACCAAAAATGACATTAGCATCACCAAGTTAAGTACAGTCTGCTCTGCACAGAACTTGAGCTAGAAACTCTCAGCAAACTGAAGGTTTGTTCATTACAAAAGATTCTGTTCTGTGTCATGCAATACAATACTACTGGGGGAAAAGGAAAAAAAAAAAAAGCAAAAGCTTTGAGTCATTTACAGATGTACAGTTTTTTGTAACAGCCATTTAAGTTCTCAACAGAGAAAGAAAAGAAGTATGAAGAACCATCAGAAGGAAGATAACACTGTAATGGGTATATACAGCTGTGTCATTTAATCACTGCGCAGAGGTAGTAATCTAGGACTCAGTCAGCAGAAGAATAATACAGTAAAGTCTCCTAGAAGCTTTCTCAGGTGCTCTGTCAAGAAGCGTTCAGAGTACAAGGACAATGGCATTAACAAGCTTTTGGTTGAATAAGAAAAAAAAAAAGCTAAAAATAAAAGTTATATCTTACCACAAACTCATGTAGATTTAACTTACTTTTTTATTATTTTTTACTCATTTTAAGAGTGTGACACTATTTCTATAATGTCCTTCTAATACTAACCTTATACTTATTTTAACCTTCTAGTAAGCTTACTGGAACATAGAAATAGATCTCCTCTCTCCCCGCATAATTTTATATTTCTCTGTTGGAAGGAGGGACTACACACACAGAAACAGAGGAAACTCTCAAAGGAAGAAAGCTAGAAGCATTCTGACAGGGAAATCTAGAAGTCTCTCTACTTATGTTAGGCAAACTAGAGAGATGGGCCTGGCATGATATTTCCGCACACCCTAGTTTCTCCTCCTTTACCTATCCATGCAGAACTGGAACACAGACTGTGAAATGTCTAATACAACTATGCATTTTTAAGTTTTGCTCATTTACTCTGTTACAGAAAGTTGTAGGATCATTAATCAGATGCTGATATCTGAAGTGTAACAACCCAAGACAGGAAAACTCACGAGCTCATGTAAGAATTAAGAAACGGGTAGAACTTGCAAGAAAACATCTTTCCCACAAGATGAAGTTGAAGACAGCAAGTTTCACATTTATAAAACGGAACTCTTTGCCAGATCCAACTGCATTTTTATTCAGTAAGGTGAGATTCCTATCTTGAAAGCCAGCGAGTATGACACAGAACTAATTCACAGGAAATGGTAGATTTTTCAGTGTTTAACAACTCATTCACATAAACGATGGAAACACTATGGATATATTCGGACAAGCCAGAGCATTTGCCATCATAGGTACACTACCTGATAACTGGAAAAACTTGCAAGACAGAAGAGAACACGAGTGTCTTATTCCTTTAGTGATAAGAGAGGAACGTGATAACACACGAAACAAAACTTCCTGGCAGCATTTATATGCAATGAGTATATGAAATGCATAATTGCTTAATGATTTTTTTCAACAGAACGCTCAAGCTGATGATGAAGTTCACTGGAATACAACGAGAAGTGTTCTAAGAGATCAGTAAAATGTCAGCTCAAGAGAATACCAATTTCTTGGAGGTTTTTTTGGACTATCTTTACAAAATAATCTGTTAGGAATACAAAGATAGACAATAAAGAAAAGAGAGAGAGAAGAGAAAGCATAACAAAACTAAAGCAATATAGTAAAGTATTTCACATTGTAAGCAAACAGAGTAAGATGAAGTAGCCAACTAGCAATGTCACTGGAAAAAGGGAATGAACTGAGTGTCTTACACCACCTGAAAACTGCTGAGCTGATTAACATCAGGACTACGCAAGTTGAGTTGAAGGTGCAAGGAGCATAGAGAAAAAAAACAGGTGCAAAAGTGAAAAACAAGGGAGATCTTTTGCTTTTTCTGACTAAAAACGCAGTACGTTCAAGGCATGCCCAAAATTCAGAAAAGACAAAGCCACCGGTATCTAAAAGCGGCAATGCCAATTACTTCTAAAGCGATCTTCAACTTACGGGTTCGCTCAGCTCCACAGTTGCATGCTTTCCTTCTCCATCCGAAAGGACAAAAAGTTTCCCAGTAGGGTGAATCTACAAAAGAAACCAAGTCCGCCTGCTCAAAACGCAGCTGCAAACGTTACAGACGTAGCTCTTCTAC